TTTCTTTGTCCGTCCACCGTCTCTTCGTTTGTCCATTGTATATTTTCTGAGTGCCGCCAATCGAAACATCGCCATAGGCAGTCTTGAAGCTGAGGAGTCGCAGTCTGCAGTTGCCAGACATTTCAACGTTCATCGAAGCACCATATCTCGCCTTTGGGATCGTTTCCTGCAGACCAATTCCGCCCAAGATCGCCCGAGCGGCCGTCCAAGAGTTACCACCCAAGCCCAGAACCGCTACATCCGGGCTGCTCACATGCGTCATCGTCTTGCCTCAGCCGTGGAGACGGCACAACACATCCCTTGTTTGAGAAGATTTACAACCAAACTGTCAGGAATCGATTGCGTGAAGTAGGGATTCGACCAAGAAGGCCAGTTGTCGCACCTGTTTTGTTAGTACCTGCATCCTGGCATGCCCATGAGGTATATTGCTAGAGACATTATTCCCGGCATGTCAGGGAGGTATATTGCAAGAGGTTGTGACCCATTGACTGTCCAGAAAACATCAGCAAACTAATGACGTTAAGGGCCGTCAGCGTTCAGCTCAACCACGAGAGACAACTCCTTGAGAATACCTCACTTCTCTGAATCGCAAGACTTGTTCATGTCAAGTGGCGTGTTTAAGCGTGGCTTCCACATCGTCCTTTGCCCAAAGTAACGGCCCGAAACCGCCTAATAGAGCCGGGAATAGAGCCAAACGACCGTTCGGACGTCTCCTGCCCAGAGCATAAAGCAGCGTCATGTATAAAGGCAGACTGCTGAATAGATCACAAAGCAGCACGACTAACTGGAATTTGACGTCATTGGGAAGCGTCCACTGCTCGGACGAAAGATGATGTCTTTTGGTCATGACTGACGGTCGAGCGCCGCGGAAACACTGTCTCTTCACAACGGGGGCGGTGGGGTAGCCTAGTGGTTAAAGCGTTGGCTCGTCACGCCGAAGACCCGGGTTCGATTCCCCACATGGGCACAATGTGTTAAGCCCATTTCTGGTGTCCCCCGCCGTGATATTGCTGGAATATTGCTAAAAGCGGCGTAAAACTAAACTCAGTCAGTCAGTCTTCACAACGGAATATCTTGGAGCAAGTAGCGTTTGGCGGGGGTTTATTGATGGTGTTGGGATGCCTCACACATGACTAAACTTAAGCTTGTGACGATCAGCAACATCTGCACGGACACCTGTAGTTGTGCCACATTTCGACCGTCCTGCAGCCACAAGGCCAGTCGTTATGGACGTCATGGAAGCCACATGGTGCACTGCCGTTGGTGGTTTGTTACGTCAAGAGGCGATAACTACTCCGCCTCTGGCCGGCCAGCAGTCAAGATTGTAATTCCAATAGACCCTGTTTGGTCTGTCACAGAGAGGTGAGTGAGGTGAAATGTGGTTTAACGTCGCACTTAAGAATATTTCGTTCATATGACGACGTATATGTGTGTGTGTGTATGTGTGGTTGCTTGTACTGGCCCAGACTGAAGCTGGTTTTATAGTGCTAGCTCACTAAGATACCATGCCGCAGTTAATCATGAATACCCCACTCAGACACATTATACTGACTCCGAGCTGACCAGTCCTTGTACCCATTACTGCCGAGCGCCAGGCAGGGACCAACAAGTACCATATGTTTTGGTATGGTATGATCGAACCTGCAACCTTCCGCTCCCGGGCGGACGCTCTAACCACTACACCACGGAGGCGAAATCCTGAACGTAAAAATTCTTGATGGGTTGGAACAAGCCCCTCATCAAGAATGGAACGGAATGCCTTAACGTTAAATTCAACGTCTGATACAGTCATTGAGGAGGGGGGTTATCAGTGTTATTGCAGTTGGTGGAGGTTACACCAGATATTAACACTGTGCACGGTACTGATGTGAATTCTTGTGGACTGTGTGCCAGGCTGTTACACCCGGTATTACAGTGCTGGTACAGATACAGGGAAGTAGAATACAGAAGCGGTGATAATAGCAATAACGACCATGGAGGCAATGTCCACCTCCCTTCAACAATCGCCACGTTTCTTAGGCTGAATATCCAGGGTAAGAATGGTCTCCACATTATGGGTACTCGTCTTGTCTCCACACTATGGGTACTCGTCTTGTCTCCACACTATGGGCACTCGTCTTGTCTCCACACTATGGGTACTTGTCTTGTTACGTGTGAGATGTACCTACCGAAAAACTCTCATGAAGAATCTCCATCTCCCTGTGTCAGAATAATATAGTGGAAATGCTCAAAGTGTTGTAGCTTGCAGAATTCTAAGGGGTGGTGGGGTAGCCTAGTGGTTAAAGCGTTCGCTCGTCACGCCGAGGACCCGGGTTCGATTCCCGACATGGGTACAATGTGTGAAGCCCATTTCTGGTGTCCGCCGCCGTGATTTTGCTGGAATATTGCCAAAAGTGGCGTAAAACTAAACTCACTCACTCACTCACTACAGTACTCTACCACAAGTCTGAATATACAGCAAACCAATCCCCCTACTGAAGCTACACAGGTACAATGTAGTATACGTTGAATACCGTTCATCTTTCAATAACACCGCACATAACAATGTATGTACTGGAACTGGGTCAGCAGAACAACCTCTGCACATGTACACGCATGACGTATTTCACAGTAATGCCTAGGTCACATATCCACTTTTGCTATGAAAGATTAGTTTACGATGCCCGGCCGGGCTGAAAATCGGCAAAATTGAGAGATACCCGACGGGAGCTGGACGATCATCCGTGAATATGAGCTATGGTTATGACATCGGAAAGACCCCGTTGACACATCGTGGACAAATCGGAAACAAAGTTATTTTTACGGCGATCGGTGGTGAGTATTCCCCTCGGTAACGGGTCTGTGGCACATCTTCACCAGTCACCCTACACGCACCTGCCACACCGCCAGGGAATCGGGCGATTTGTTCAGTGCGCTGGTGTCGTACGGTGACCGGAGGACAACAGAAGGGTTGTCTGCTGGGAATCGATCAATACTCGGATTGTTCCCGTTCTCAAACCGTGCGATTAAACTTAGTCAGAAGGTGACCACCCATAGTCTGGGCAAGCATCGAGCATGCGCCGAACGGGTATCATTTAGACACTGGGAATTTTGACGTGCCTGGTCCGGGTTTGAATGCATTAGATGCTCCTCGTGGAAGTCTGGTGTTGCCACGCCACGTCCTTCCACCTCCCCACCTACCCCATAGGGTCTGGCACCTGCCTCACCAAATCCTCTTCCTCATGAGACATATTTTATCTCCCCCGTTTTGAATTCGCAACAGCATCCTTTGCACTTCTACCTCTCTTCATGTCTACCTCTCTTCATGTCTACCTCTCTTCATGTCTACCTATTTTCATGTCTACCTATCTTCATGTCTACCTCTGCATGTCTACCTCTCATGTCTACCTATCCTCATGTCTACCTCTTTTCATGTCTACCTATCTTCATGTCTACCTCTCTTCATGTCTACCTCTCTTCATGTCTACCTCTCTCATGTCTATGTCTACCTCTCTTCATGTCTACCTATCTTCATGTCTACCTCTCTTCATGTCTACCTCTCTTCATGTGTACCTATCTTCATGTCTACCTCTCTTCATGTCTACCTATCTACCTATCTTCATGTCTACCTCTTTTCATGTCTACCTATTTTCATGTCTACCTATTTTCATGTCTACCTATTTTCATGTCTACCTACCTTCATGTCTACCTCTCTTCATGTCTACCTATCTTCATGTCTACCTATATGTGGATTGTGAGACATAACTTGCAGTCGAACACCAACTTTGATTGACCGGGCACTGTGCGGGCTCCTTTTCTAGCGAGCGGGAACGGACGGTATTAATCCAGGCATCGACAACGATTTGGTTTACATCGGGAGGATACCGTCCGGGTATCAGGAGATGACCGGCCGATTCCCGCCACATGACGCCATTCACATTTTCCATTTTTCCAAAGTACTTCAGATACCCTGCCACCCACCTGTCAGTGACTGGAAGGAAGTCTTCCGATTATCCTTGGATTTTGTGACAACTGCACCGATGTGACACAGATGTGGGCACAAATCTGTCGCACGCCGTAACATCGGTGAAACCCACAGATGCACGCGCATCGGTCGGCGACCTATGAAAAATTAGAGATATGTGACCTAGGCATAAACTGTTGACTAGATTTCTGGTCTAGCACACGAAACAACATCGGAGAGGGAATCAGAGATGTTCCGAGGTTCAATCACGGGGGGTTCTGGCACAGTGAGCTGTTGACCTGAATATCCGTTTACACACTGAGTACATATTAATGTTACCCATATTTTACGCGACACTCTCTAAACAGACCTCTGTCTTCCCTCAAAGGTATCATATGTAATTCAACAATGGCTTATAGTGAAAAGATCCTCTTCTACCACAGCACTTTTTGTTGTTGTCTGTCACCAAACAGTATCCTCGTCGATAAGCTATATATAAGGTACCTGGTGTATTCATGAGCAGGTAGAGACGTGCTTCTACACACTGCGTGTGTGAGTGCTGGGGTTCGTGTCAAGTTCCTGTGTTATCGACACATGTTGTAACCCTGCTACACCGGAGGGCGGGGACAGATTGGGCAATCAAATTAGGTACCACGTAGTTTTGAAATGAGGTACTAATATTGTACTATAGGAGGCTGCTAATCAGTGCGATGAAAAGAGGTGATAGATTTTTAACGGAACTGTTGAATCATCCTACCACAACTACCTGCTTCTATCTACGTAATGCCTGAAGTGCAGCCTGGTGTGTTTGGTCATGATAAATAGGTGGTCAAACTCCTCTCTGGCATCCGTCTCCTGCTCAGCATCCCATACATCTTATTCAGCATGGCGTGATATCATTAAACCCCTGACACTCACTCACTCAATCACTTCTCTGGCAGAACAGTACATATCAGGGTTTAGTGTTATTGTACTTTTAGATGTGTAACGTATTCGGCTTGTCTGTAAATAGACTGTAATTTCACACTTGAAAATAAACTGAGAAAGGGGGAACATAAAGTATGGAAAGTGGAGTTTATTTCCGGATAATACATCCTTCTCATACACGAGAGACCGTATAAGGAATCTGATTTATCTTGCCTCGCACATAAATGTCGTTTTCTGATTGGTTGAGCGCTCTGCTATTATTTTCAATGTACCCCGCTTACAAGCGAATAACAGTTTCTATGTACCCCGCTGGGAATGCCGAACTCATTTGGTACTTCATAGTAATTCTTTATCTCGAATAACATTGAATCACGTATGATGTGCGGAAATTACCGATGGAAGGGAGGTAACTCTAAATTTGTTTTTCCTGTCGCCTGGTAGTCCATACTATGATCTAATACCCGTGCTTGAAACAGTTCAAAATTACCATTGAGGTGTTCGGTAAGATAAATACGTTGTTCACCGGTCCCTCGGGGCCCATGGGTTGATGTACCCTCGATGTTTCAGGGAACATAAACTAACATCGAGGGTACATCAGCCCATGTCCCCCTCGAGACCAGTGAACAACTAATATAGTCTATTGACAACAAAATTGATATCCATAATGTATATGATCAACATGTGAACAGCACTGATGGAGTTCTTGTCAGTAAAAGTATAGTTTCAAACATGCAATAATGGAAACGAAGGAAGCATACGATAGGAGAAAATAGTCATATACATATCAAAAATTATTTTCAACAGTACGTCTGTCTGTCAGTCACTTACCATAACAGTCTGGCGTTGTTGTATCGATTGTACAAAGCAGCCTACGACAGTGGCGGCGTGACTTGTCTTCTTTAGACGAGGCAGGATCCGTTTATCGTGGTTCGAATCCTAGATTCTCCCTGATTATGATTCTTGGTTTGTCTGCACCAAACCTGTGCTGATAGACTTCATCATTTCCCTCATGAAACTAACGCTCCGTAGTAAATCGCTCACACACGTTAGATATGTGGACAGACATGGATAAACTAAGAAGCAAAATCCTTTACAGTAAAAATCTAATGTTGTTGTTCTCTAGATGGAAACATCTGATGAACATTTATCATCCTACACCTCAATTGCGCACGACGGATTCCGCTCCACCATGGCGTCATAGTCTGGAGTTTTAGGGATGCAGCGTGGCTTCTCCGCATTACCGTATCTCACCACCCGGGCGCCCTTCTCGGGGTGGTGGCTGTCTTTATACTCCACCCTGATGGAGTCACGTGACTGGGAGGACGGGCACTCCTCGAAGTAGTTGTAAGGAAGCAGTGCAAAGCTGAGGTGGGCCCCGGGGGTGGGGGTAATGGGCATGTCCTCAGTGTGGGGGATGTGATGGATGCCCATGCTGATCCAGGCCACCAGGTCCTGAAAGAAACATGGGTGCAGTTTGGTTTTGACAAGCTACGCAGAGTTTCCATTTATAGGAGGACAAACCGTTTGTACACATAAAGTGATGTCTCCTTTCATATCAAGTCCAGAATAGAACAGTTGCATTAATAAATGATGCACATGAGTATGAATCAAGTACCACCCTCTTGTTGTTTGTGATAAATACGAAAACATATTTGTACATATATGTCAGACTTTTAACAGTTTTCTGCGTTTACAGAAAGTGGACGCTTTGGTGCATATATTTGACACACCTTAGTATTATCGCTATCTGAAGATGAGGAACTAGTACCAAGATACTCATGTGTATCATATTCACCCTAGGTACATGTAAATGACAAGCCTTTAACCGTTTTCTATTTCTACAGATAGGATGCTTTAGTGCACTTTCTTGACGAATATTATACCATACTGAGTCAAAAAAGAAACTGCACAAAATGTAATTTGAAAAATAATTAATATTTTTTCTCTGATGATACATCGATGTATCCGAAATGGGATCCCTATCTTTCGACTCTAGAAAAACGTTAGCAAAACCCACTCAAACCCATCCATTCGTCGTGCAAATGACGTTAGTGCCAAATCAGGTTTTGCACGTGCAGTCGATCACGTGATCTTCACATCGAAGTTTTCTTCATATGCACGTGTTTGCATTGGCCTCAAGAATTGAAAAAAACACTTTTAAACCACATTTCTAACGGTACTTGAAATGCCACGATTGTCAAATGTGCAACGTGAACGTGCCGTTGGCATGTTGCAAGCGGGAAGATCAGTTATTGAAGTCGCAAGAGCAATGGGATGCAGCCGTCGTACTGTGTATGACTTGCGAGGTCGTCTACAACAAACTGGCACCACTTCTGATCGCCCAAGGTCGGGTCGTCCACGTGTGACGTCACGAGCAGAAGATCGTCAAATCGTCCTACGTCACCTACGTGACAGATTTCTGCCGGCTACACGAACCAGGTCTGAAATGTTTAGAGGTCGACTGTCCTCACAGACCATTCGAAATCGGTTGCGGGCTGCCAATCTCCATTCTCGACGTCCATATCGTGGGCCAATATTGACGCCGTTTCATCAACGTCAACGTCTGCTGTGGGCCCAATGTCACCTCCGATGGACCCAGAGAGACTGGAATCGAGTCGTCTTTAGCGATGAATCCAGGTTTACCCTCAGATTCGCGGACGGCAGGCATAGAGTCTGGAGACGACGTGGTGAACGTTATGCCCAATGTTGTGTACAGGAAGTCGACAGGCGGAAGTTGCATGGTGTGGGGTGCTTTCTGTGGGAACAACCGTTCCCGACTTCTGGTCATCCGTGGAAACCTGCTGCTTACCCCTGAACTCGTTCCTTTCATGGCGGCTCATGGCCCAGGTCTACAGTTCCAGCATGATAATGCTCGGACGCATACCGCGATGTTGACACTAAATTTCCTTCAAAACGCTCAACGGAATCAACGGAATCAACGTCATGGACTGGCCATCGAGGTCCCCTGACCTTAATCCAATAGAGCACGTTTGGGATGCACTTGGGAGAAGGCTTCGTGGTCTTAGGAACCAACCTCAGAATTTGCAGGAACTTGGCGCTGCCTTGCAAGAGCAATGGCGCAGAATCCCCAACCACGTGTTCACAAGCATCAGGCAGTCGATGAGGAGACGGTGTTTGGCAGTGGTGAATGCGCGGGGCGTCCATACACGATATTGGACTGAGAAATTTCGCATTTATATTCTTGTGACTTGACATTCTGTATACCCATGTTTTGGAACGGCGGTGTAGCCTAATGGAACTGATTATGGCACTGTCAGTGTATCGAGTACATCACACAGATCTCAGCAATGAAATAATAACAATTTAACCATCTTACCATCTCTTGTTCTTTTATAGTGCCCTGAAGAAAGAATGTGAAGTTTCTTTTTTGACTCAGTATATTACTATTGGAATATACATTCATGTGTATTATGTTCATATTCAATGTCTGTATATGCCATGGGATGAATAAAAAGTTTATAAAAAAAATACGAAAACAGGACATATTTTTGTATATGCTTTGTAAATCAAATTCCGCTTATTAAAAAGGTAACTGTAACATAATTGACACTGATTACAACAAAAACAAAACTGCAATTGAAAGTTAGAAACACTTTACTTGAGAGGAATACACAAAAGCGTCATCATCGAAACAAAAAACGAGAGCATTTTCACCATGACTTCTCCACCAATCTGATTGTCACACACAGTTCTGAATAACGACTGTTGTGACTGTTTCAACCATCACTGGCGACCAACCTCTCACTGATATCTTCCTCATGCTGATTTTTCAAGTCACAAGTTCACAGGAATCCTCCTCCTTTCCTTGCGGAATGTCTGCGTCAATTCCTGAAGATGTGGAATAGGAGGCTCTCTAGCTTGAACATGTCGTCCAGTACTGTTCGAGGCTCTCTAGCTTCAACATGACGTCCAGTACTGTTCGAGGCTCTCTAGCTTCAACATGACGTCCAGTACTGTTCGAGGCTCTCTAGCTTCAACATGACGTCCAGTACTGTTCGAGGCTCTCTAGCTTCAACATGACGTCCAGTACTGTTCGAGGCTCTCTAGCTTCAACATGACGTCCAGTACTGTTCGAAGGCTCTCTAGCTTCAACATGACGTCCAGTACTGTTCGAGGCTCTCTAGCTTCAACATGACGTCCAGTACTGTTCGAGGCTCTCTAGCTTCAACATGACGTCCAGTACTGTTCGAGGCTCTCTAGCTTCAACATGACGTCCAGTACTGTTCGAAGGCTCTCTAGCTTCAACATGACGTCCAGTACTGTTCGAGGCTCTCTAGCTTCAACATGACGTCCAGTATTATTCGAAGTTATTCAACGGGCTTCATATCGGTGCTCCTTGCGGGCCATGGTAACGTTTCTATTGTGTTGTCCTTTAAATGGGCCGTGACGGCTCGAGAACGGTGAGGTCCAGCTTTGTAGAACGACTGGTTGGGGATGGTTATCAGAAAATGGCACGACGGCGGTATCCAGTACTTCATGTCGATAACGCTGATCACTGAGTGTCCTGTGTACTGTAATGAGATCCAACGGTTGAGTGGACTTTGTGTGTGTGTACCGCCAGTGGTTACGTTCGCCTTTATCATCGCATCACATGCTGTCATTTTCTGGATGGTCTTGTCCAAACTCGATTATTTACAGCCCCGCGTTGCGTTGGGCATACAAACATTGACAAACAAACAAACATGTGCTTCCTGTATCCTAGGGTGTGACCGCCTACAACTGGAACATTGCCCTTGAATTCATATGGTGCCTACAATTAAGGCTGATGAGTATAATTTAACGAGGTGTCAAATAAGAACGACCTACACCCGAACCATTAAACTGAAGAAGAACCGTGTGTGTATTCCCTGATACATGCCTTGAGTCCAGTTTCTAACTACGTGTATAAAAACAAACTGCAATACATATGGTCGAGTAAGGGCAACATATATATGGCGGTCACTATTGCTGCGTTGGCGAACAGTTTGAAAAACGGATTCAAACACTTCTCCATATGGAAATTGGGGAACACTCCCTTGGTCACCGTTGCAGCTGACTGCTATGTCCATGACCTACTTAACAGCTGTATAGAGACATGTGGATGTGACTTCTCCAGTACATTGTCTCCAGATTGACTCTTTCCCTTCCCTTGTGAAAGAGCTACGGGTGCAAAGGCACCTGGATCATGCTCGTGTGTCACGGAGGTAGCTGGGCGAATGTCACAGAGGTAGCTGGGCGAGTGTCACAGAGGTAGCTGGGCGAGTGTCACAGAGGTAGCTGGGAGAGTGTCACAGAGGTAGCTGGGCGAGCGTCACAGAGGTAACTGGGCGAGTTTCAAAGAGGTAGCTGGGTGCGTGTCACAGAGGTAGCTGGATGAGTGTCACAGAGGTAGCTGGGAGAGCGTCACAGAAGTAACTTGGCGAGCGTCACAGAGGTAACTGGGCGAGTTTCAAAGAGGTAGCTGGGTGCGTGTCACAGAGGTAGCTGGATGAGTGTCACAGGGGTAGCTGGGAGAGCGTCACAGAGGTAACTGGGCGAGTTTCAAAGAGGTAGCTGGGTGCGTGTCACAGAGGTAGCTGGGCGAGTGTCACAGAGGTAGCTGGGAGAGCGTCACAGAGGTAACTGGGCGAGCGTCACAGAGGTAACTGGGCGAGTTTCAAAGAGGTAGCTGGGTGCGTGTCACAGAGGTAGCTGGGCGAGTGTCACAGAGGTAGCTGGGCGAGTGTCACAGAGGTAGCTGGGAGAGCGTCACAGAGGTAGCTGGGAGAGCGTCACAGAGGTAACTGGGCGAGTTTCAAAGAGGTAGCTGGGCGAGTGTCACAGAGGTAGCTGGGCGAGCGTCACAGAGGTAGCTGGGCGAGTTTCAAAGAGGTAGCTAGGAGAGCGTCACAGCGGTAGCTGGATGAGTGTCACAGAGGTAGCTGGACGAGTGTCACAGAGGTAGCTAGGAGAGCGTCACAGAGGTAGCTGGACGAGTGTCACAGAGGTAGCTGGGCGAGCGTCACAGAGGTAGCTGGGCGAGCGTCACAGAGGTAACTGGGCAAGCGTCAAAGAGGTAGCTGGGCGAGCGTCAAAGAGGTAGCTGGGCGCGTGTCACAGATGTAGCTGGGTGAGTTTCAGCTCTTCCGCATTGATACCCAGTTAAACATTGAACAGTGTCAAACCTATTCAACCAGTCAACCCAGTACACATGACCCAATAGTCGACATTACATATCTGACAAGTGTGTGTTCAGGGCCCCGTTTCACAAAGCTGTCGTAGCGCTACGAATGCGCTAAGTCTGTGTTACAGTATAGGAGGTACGACAGTCGTAGTGCTACAACTGCCGTAAGTCTATGTTACAGAATATGGGGGTATGACAGCCGTAGTGCTACAACTGTCATACAACTGTCATAAGTCTGTCATAAGCCTGTGTTACAGTATAGGGGTACAGTATGCTACAACTGCCATAAGTCTGTACAGTACAGGGGTATGACAGCGTAGTGCTACAACTGTCATAAGTCTATGTTACAGTATAGGGGTATGACAGCCGTAGTGCTACAACTGTCATAAGTCTGTGTTACAGTATAGGAGGTACGACAGTCGTAGTGCTACAACTGCCGTAAGTCTGATGTTACAGTATAGGGGGTAAGACAGCCGTAGTGCTACAACTGTCATAAGTCTGTGTTACAGTATAGGAGGTATGACAGTCGTAGTGCTACAACTGCCGTAAGTCTGTGTTACAGTATAGGGGGTAAGACAGCCGTAGTGCTACAACTGTCATAAGTCTGTGTTACAGTATAGGGGGTATGACAGCCGTAGTGCTACAACTGCCGTAAGTCTGTGTTACAGTATAGGGGTATGACAGTCGTAGTGCTACAACTGCCGTAAGTCTGTGTTACAGTATAGGAGGTACGACAGCTGTAGTGCTACAACTGTCATAAGTCTGTGTTACAGTATAGGGGGTATGACAGTTGTAGTGCTACAACTGCCGTAAGTCTATGTTACAGTATAGGAGGTAAGACAGCAGTAGTGCTACAACTGTCATAAGTCTGTGTTACAGTATAGGGGTACGACAGCAGTAGTGCTACAACTGTCATAAGTCTGTGTTACAGTATAGGGGGTATGACAGTCGTAGTGCTACAACTGCCGTAAGTCTGTGTTACAGTATAGGGGGTATGACAGTCGTAGTGCTACAACTGTCATAAGTCTGTGTTACAGTATAGGAGGTAACAGACAGACAGTAGTAGTGCTACAACTGTCATAAGTCTGTGTTACAGTATAGGGGGTATGACAGCCGTAGTGCTACAACTGCCGTAAGTCTGTGTTACAGTATAGGAGGTAAGACAGCAGTAGTGCTACAACTGCCGTAAGTCTGTGTTACAGTATAGGGGGTATGACAGTCGTAGTGCTACAACTGTCATAAGTCTATGTTAGGGTATAGGAGGTAAGACAGTAGTAGTGCTACAACTGTCATAAGTCTATGTTACAGTATAGGGGTATGACAGTCGTAGTGCTACAACTGTCATAAGTCAGTGTGTTACACAGTATAGTGCTACAACCGTCATAAGTCTGTGTTATGACAGTCGTAGTGCTACAACTGTCATAAAGTCTATGTTACAGTATAGGGGGTATGACAGTAGTAGTGCTACAACCGTCATAAGTCTATGTTACAGTATAGGGTCATAAGTCTATGTTACAGTATGACAGTAGTAGTGCTACAACTGTGTTACAGTATAGTGCTAGTGCACAACCGCCGTAAGTCTGTGTTACAGTATAGGGGTACGGCAGCAGTAGTGCTACAACTGCCGTAAGTCTGTGTTACAGTATAGGGGGTATGACAGTCGTAGTGCTACAACTGCCGTAAGTCTGTGTTACAGTATAGGAGGTAAGACAGCAGTAGTGCTACAACTGCCGTAAGTCTGTGTTACAGTATAGGAGGTATGGACAGTCGTAGTGCTACAACTGTCATAAGTCTGTGTTACAGTATAGGGGGTATGGCAGTCGTAGTGCTACAACTGTCATAAGTCTGTGTTACAGTATAGTCTATGTTACAACCGTATAGGAGGTATGACAGCAGTAGTAGTGCTACAACTGTCATAAGTCTGTGTTACAGTATAGGAGGTATGACAGCAGTAGTGCTACAACTGTCATAAGTCTGTGTTACAGTATAGGGGTACGGCAGTCGTAGTGCTACAACTGTCATAAGTCTGTGTTACAGTATAGGGGTATGACGGCAGTCGTAGTGCTACAACTGTCATAAGTCTGTGTTACAGTATAGGGGTATGACAGCAGTAGTGCTACAACTGTCATAAGTCTGTGTTACAGTATAGGAGGTATGACAGTCGTAGTGCTACAACTGTCATAAGTCTGTGTTACAGTATAGGAGGTACGACAGTCGTAGTCGTAACTGTCATAAAGTGCTACAACTGTCATAAGTCTGTGTTACAGTATAGGGGTATGACAGTCGTAGTGCTACAACTGTCATAAGTCTGTGTTACAGTATAGGAGGTACGGCAGTCGTAGTGCTACAACTGTCATCAGTCTATGTTACAGTATAGGAGGTATGACAGCAGTAGTGCTACAACTGTCATAAGTCTGTGTTACAGTATAGGAGGTATGACAGCAGTAGTGCTACAACTGTCATAAGTCTGTGTTACAGTATGGGAGGTATGACAGTCGTAGTGCTACAACTGCCATAAGTCTGTGTTACAGTATAGGAGGTATGACAGCTGTAGTGCTACAACTGTCATAAGTCTATGTTACAGTATAGGAGGTATGACAGCCGTAGTGCTACAACTGCCGTAAGTCTGTGTTACAGTATAGGAGGTAAGACAGCAGTAGTGCTACAACTGTCATAAGTCTATGTTACAGTATAGGAGGTACGGCAGTCGCAGTGCTACAACTGTCATCAGTCTATGTTACGGTATAGGAGGTATGACAGTCGTAGTGCTACAACTGCCGTAAGTCTATGTTACAGTATAGGAGGTATGACAGCAGTAGTGCTACAACTGTCATAAGTCTATGTTACAGTATAGGAGGTATGACAGTCGTAGTGCTACAACTGCCGTAAGTCTATGTTACAGTATAGGAGGTACGGCAGTCGTAGTGCTACAACTGTCATCAGTCTATGTTACGGTATAGGAGGTATGACAGCAGTAGTGCTACAACTGCCGTAAGTCTGTGTTACAGTATAGGAGGTATGACAGTAGTAGTGCTACAACTGTCATAAGTGTATGTTACAGTATAGGCGGTATGACAGCTGTTGTGCTACAACTGTCATCAGTCTATGTTACGGTATAGGAGGTATGACAGCAGTAGTGCTACAACTGCCGTAAGTCTGTTACATCAAGTAAGTCTATGTTCCAGTATAGGGAGGTATGACAGTCGTAGTGCTACAACTGTCATAAGTCTATGTTACAGTATAGGAGGTATGACAGCAGTAGTGCTACAACTGTCATCAGTCTATGTTACAGTATAGGAGGTATGACAGTCGTAGTGCTACAACTGCCATAAGTCTATGTTACAGTATAGGAGGTATGACAGTCGTAGTGCTACAACTGTCATAAGTCTATGTTACAGTATAGGAGGTATGACAGCAGTAGTGCTACAACTGCCGTAAGTCTGTGTTACAGTATAGGAGGTAAGACAGTCGTAGTGCTACAACTGTCATCAGTTTATGTTACAGTATAGGAGGTATGACAGCCGTAGTGCTACAACTGTCATCAGTCTATGTTACAGTATAGGAGGTATGACAGCCGTAGTGCTACAACTGTCATAAGTCTATGTTACGGTATAGGAGGTATGACAGTAGTAGTGCTACAACTGTCATAAGTCTATGTTACAGTATAGGAGGTACTGCAGTCGTAGTGCTACAACTGTCATCAGTCTATGTTACGGTATAGGAGGTATGACAGCCATAGTGCTACAACTGCCGTAAGTCTATGTTACAGTATAGGATGTATGGCATTCGTAGTGCTACAACTGTCATAAGTCTATGTTACAGTATAGGAGGTATGACAGTCGTAGTGCTACAACTGCCGTAAGTCTATGTTACAGTGTAGGAGGTACGGCAGCCGTAGTGCTACAACTGTCATAAGTCTATGTTACAGTATAGGAGGTATGGCATTCGTACGATAGCTTTATGAAACTGGGCCCAGGACATTTTAAATTTAAAAATCGGAATTTCTTGTGGCATAGTTACATTTCCGTAACCATTCTTCGTAACCGTCCGTAAAGATAATGTATAATGTACAACAATGTATGACTTTTGACGTTTAATGAAGATTATGTGACGGCAAGTGTTTAGGTACGTGTGAGCCCTACTAAATGATTCAAGATTTTGGCGGCAGTATGAGGATATTAGAGTTTATATTGTTTACAAATAAGACAGATTTGATCGCTCGAGAAGTCTCGGAAGAGAGATATTTTCAGAAGAGTTTCTGGAAATATATGTGATAATGCAATATTTGACGTCACGTGCGGATGATGAACTTTCAAATGGGATACCTATCTGGAAATACTTAGCTGGGAATGCCAAATTCCACCCTGTGTCTTTACCTGTTGTGGAATCAAGAACAGATCTAGAGACATATAATTGGGACACATCCTGGAAAGTGCACCAACAGTTAGACATGCTTCCCTTTCTTAACGAAAACCTAATGTCAGCATTGATGATTTAAGGAGATCCATACATACATGTCATGGAGTCAGTTTGGTGGGATATCGAAACTGGTATTCTCTGGCTTTGGCATGTTTAAAATGATTCAAATGTATGTTACTTACTGCTGCTGTCGCCCTGTTAAGCCATGATTATATTTCTATGGAAATCACCTTGTAGTAATGGTAAGATTTCCCAATCATTACCTCGTCAACAATGTCTTCGTTGTCAGCATAAAACGACGTAAAGTTGACTGTGGGTTCCATGGTATCGAACATTCCATAGACGGAGCTGGCATCTCTTTCGTCGTCCTTGAACTTGGTAACAGTCATCTGGTTCCTCGCCCAGTTAATAGCTGGCTCATTACCAATGTCCTCGGGGATTAGCACCTTGGACATTCCGTTCACGTGGATTCTGGGAGAATACAGAAGAAAACATGAATACCCACCTAACAAATATATGGATGACTCATTACCCTAATTATCATATGTAAAGTTGTTGCATATTTAAACTATCGGGTTCGGGGGGAACCACAAAAATCGGTACATTGACCAATTTTGTCCACTTCACCTCCTTCCGATTATCAACTGGCAAAGTGAGCTGTTTAAACTAGACAATGCCATACCACCCACAGCTGTTGACTTCCTGAATAATTCCCGCGTCAGTGTCTTGGAATGATATTCCACTCCGCATCTGAACCCGAGAAAGCATCTGTGAAATGAACTTGATAGACGTGTACGTCAGCGTCAACGTATGCCACAGAGAAATGCACAACTGACGTACGTGTAGCAGGAATCCCACAGGACAGAATCCGTACACATAGTCATTGAAAGCCCATGAATGGCCACTCCTATCCGTGCGTAACTTGCTCCAGTCAAATTTAATGAAGTGTGCAAATATATAACATATTTTATATTTGGGATTACACTCTCTTGTGCAAATATAACTGAACATAGTAATGCAAGTTAATTATTTTTCCCTAAGGCTGTATGATTTTCTGGTTGATTGATATCATTTTTCTATTTTGTAAAACGCATGCCCAATACATTACATCTTCACACAATAAGTCCTTGACCTTCAGATGTCTGAACACTGCTCACTTCAGAAGTGTATTGTTACACACGTGATACCAACAGTGACACTTATGGTTTCAGAAAAAACATGTATCAAACAAAACACAAAGCACTCCGAGGGATAACAAGTGCAGGGTGAAACTACTAATACACATTACCAAAGCTCGTACCTGTAAGACTTGATTGCCCCGAATTTGGTGGGATTGTCGTTGTTGTGGAACACGTGATATTTTGGCTTCTCAAAGTTGAACTTGAAGGCTGCATCCATCTCTGCCCTCTTGAGAGAACGCTCATACTTGATTTGGTAGTACTTGGAGTTAGGGTCGTCTGTCGTTTGTGAGTTGGGGGAAACGTCACGTGATATGTCAAGAGTTTCGTATCTGTTGGTCTGTCCATGAATGTCAACGTCTGCTTTGAAGAGGAACAGATGGTGATGAATACTACCAAAGGTATTTTGCTTCAGTTGGAAGCCATATGGATCTTCTTTGGGGGTATAGAAAGAGCCGAATATATACCCAGTCGATAGAACTCGAACCTCCATAGCTCCGCTTTGGTGGAATATAAAGTCCATCACATAATCATAGTTTACAACGGTCAAGATACTTCTAAGAATTAAGACATTGTCCTCCATTCCGGAATAGAAGCCACCCTCAACCTGGCTGTATGAAAGATGGCGACGAAGAGGAATTCCTTGGTTCAGTTCAAACAGACAGAAAGCTCTCTGAAGAACAACTGGCTCCTCGGAAGTTTCACCCAAATAGGAATAGTTGAAGAATGTACTCGTCTCTGGACAGTCCGCACCAGGAACCAGAGATTGGGAGTGGGTGCCAATGAGAGCACCACTATCGATGAAATCAGCACTCCGTGTAGCAGAGTTATTGGACGCATAAAAGACAGCTATCTCTTGTAGGCCAACTTCATATGCAATCCTCTCATTGTTGAAGCGGATGTCGTAAATTTGTGGACCACTTAAAGTGGACATTCTGAAGTTGAAGGCCCACTGCATGTATTCCACGTGGCGATGGTGCACACTGTATCGCTTACCGTCAGGTTCGTACATTCGGGGAGGTCTCTGTGGCTTCTTTGGGACAGGCTCACCTCTTCTGTGTAAGGAAGATTTCAATTCCTTGACGTTTTCGGGGAATGGTATCTTGGATTTTGGGATTGAACCAGCTCTGTACTGGGTGGCGAGGTCATCCAGACTGGAATACTCCTGATCAGCATATACTAGTTTTTCAATATAGAAGTTTGCAGGATCTTGGGAGTGGACATTTGCAAGCATCAGTAGATCAACAGGGTTAAGGTCGTAATACTCAACGAAGTGACTTGTTGATAACCACATCTTCCTCACTCTCGATTTGCTAATACCAGAACCCACAGGTGTTGGGTAAAAATTGAGGCATCTGTCTCCACAGTCTGTAAATGTGGCACCATAACTCTCCTTCAAAATAAAACCAATCTTTTTGTCTACCTCTCGGAACAGGTTCGTGTAGAATGCTCCATACTCCACGTATCCTATAGGTCGGAAAGCATATGGAACCGGATTCAAGCGGCCAGGAACCGTCAACAACTTGCAACTGTTGGGGTTAGGGAGAGGACCAACAATATATTCTTCTGACACTGGCGGAACAGCGTCTCCTCTAAAGATCACAATTCGAGCTTTCCTTTCTGGTTTAGGTCCGGACCCACTTAAGTAGGCCAGTGCTTCTGATTTCAGTGGTGGGTGAAGATCTGACACATATATATAGCTGACGTTGACTGCAGCTTTATCGGGCTTCTTGAGGTTTAACTGCGTCTTCAGGCTGTACAGGTAGTCCTGGATGGCTTTCAGCTCCTTCACGGTAAGGTCATCATACAGCCCAGGTTCCTCTGCCTCAGATGTGTCAATATCGGGCTTCCCAAAACTTTCTCCACAATCATCCGCAGCCTGGCGTTCCTTCATCATGGAGACGGCAATAAGAGCCACGACTAATGCCAGAGCTATGAGAAACAAGGCTATAGCCACACAGCGCCATCTACCGATGCTCTTGCAGTATTTCTTGTGGAGTTCAGTCATGATACTTGAACTGAAACAGTTAGGAAAATGTTAAGAGTGGAAAATTGTCCGATAGACAACACAAGGCAGCCTCTAATTGCCTGAGGGCCAACGAAGTGCAACGATGGGCAGACAATGGACATAACGGACAATCGCTGAGAACAAGGCCAACGGGATAATATTTATTATTTACAGCTGCAAAATCAGATATTTTCTTAGCTAAAACTTTGAGCCTTAAAGTTTTTAATAAAAACCCATTTAGCAATGTATTTTTTAGGACTGACAATATATGTATTCAACATTCTGAAGCCATTTCGTTTCTCAAGTCTCCAAGACAACAACCTGATGAACAGTGAGGGGCAGTAACTGGCAACAACGGATACTGATGGACAGTGAGGGGCAGTACCTGGCAACAACGGATACTGATGGACAGTGAGGGGCAGTAACTGGCAACAACGGATACTGATGGACAGTGAGGGGCAGTACCTGGCAACAACGGATACTGATGGACAGTGAGGGGCAGTACCTGGCAACAACGGATACTGATGGACAAGGAAAGGGCATTTAATGAAAACAACATAACGACAATCTTTCCAAGAGTTGTGAATAACATGGATGCCTTATGTTATGGACAAATTGGGAATACAAGTCAATCTGAAATTGACCAATGCTACACCAGTCCTCACGTCCATGTTCAGGGTTTTATTTCACTTCCAGCCAGAACATGTTATATACGAACTCTGTAAGAGTGGGGCTATACCAGCGTTTTCAATACCAAGAGCCAGCACTACCTCATGTCTGTACACAACGCTGGACATAGAGTAGAGCACTACTCCATAAGTCTCTACACAACACAAGACACAGGGTGGAGCACTGCCCCATAAGTGCCTCTACAACACAAGACACAGGGAAGAGCACAGCTCCATAATTCTCTCTACAACACAAGACACAAGGTAGAGCACAACTGCATAAGTCTCTCTACAACACAAGACACAGGGAAGAGCACAACTCCATTAGTCTCTCTACAACACAAGACACAGGGTAGAGCACAACTCCATAAGTGTCTCCACAACACAAGACACAGGGAAGAGCACAACTCCATAAGTCTCTCCCCAACACAAGACACAGGGTAGAGTACTACTCCATAAGTCTCTCCAAAACACAAGACACAGGGTAGAGCACAACTGCATAAATCTCTCCACAACACAAGACACGGGGAAGAGCACTACTCCATAAATCTCCCTACAACACAAGACACAGGGTTGAGCACAACTCCATATGTCTCTCTACAACACAAGACACGGGGAAGAGCACTACTCCATAAATCTCTCCACAACACAAGACACAGGGTAGAGCACAACTCCATAAGTCTCTCCTCAACAAAAGACACAGGGAAGATCACAGCTCCATAAGTCTCTCTACAACACAAGACACAGGGTAGAGCACAACTCCATAAGTCTCTCTACAACACAAGACACAGGGTAGAGCACAACTCCATAAGTCTCTCTACAACACAAGACACAGGGTAGAGCACAACTCCATAAGTCTCTACAACACAAGACACAGGGTAGAGCACAACTCCATAAGTCTCTCTACAACACAAGACACAGGGAAGAGCACTACTCCATAAGTCACTCTACAACACAAGACACAGGGTAGAGCACAACTCCATAAGTCTCTCCACAACACAAGACACGGGGTAGAGCACTACTCCATAAGTCTCTGCAACACAAGACACAGGGTAGAGCACTACTCCATAAATCTCTCCACAACACAAGACACAGGGAAGAGCACTACCTCATAAGTCTCTCCACAACACAAGACACGGGGTAGAGCACTACCTCATAAGTCTCTCTACAACACAAGACACAGAGAAGAGCACAACTCCATAAATCTCTCCACAACACAAGACACAGGGAAGAGCACTACTCCATAAGTCTCTCTACAACACAAGACACAGGGTACAGCACAACTCCATAAGTCTCTCCTCAACACAAGACACAGGTAAGAGCACTACTCCATAAGTCTCTCTACAACACAAGACACAGGGTAGAGCACTACTCCATTAATCTCTCTACAACACAAGACACAGGGAAGAGCACTACTACATAAGTCTCTCCACAACACAAGACACAGGGAAGAGCACTACCTCATCAGTCTCTCCACAACACAAGACACAGGGTAGAGCACTACTCCATAAGTCTCTCTACAACACAAGACACAGGGTACAGCACAACTCCATAAGTCTCTCCTCAACACAAGACACAGGTAAGAGCACTACTCCATAAGTCTCTCTACAACACAAGACACAGGGTAGAGCACTACTCCATAAATCTCTCTACAACACAAGACACAGGGAAGAGCACTACTACATAAGTCTCTCCACAACACAAGACACAGGGAAGAGCACTACCTCATCAGTCTCTCCACAACACAAGACACAGGGTAGAGCACTACCTCATAAGTCTCTCTACAACACAAGACACAGGGAAGAGCACAACTCCATAAGTCTCTCCACAACACAAGACACAGGGAAGAGCACTACTCCATAAGTCCCTCTACAACACAAGACACAGGGTAGAGCACAACTCCATAAGTCTCTCCTCAACACAAGACACAGGTAAGAGCACTACTCCATAAGTCTCTCTACAACACAAGACACACAGGGTGAGAGCACTACTCCATAAATCTCTCTACAACACAAGACACAGGGAAGAGCACTACTACATAAGTCTCTCCACAACACAAGACACAGGGGTAGAGCACTACCTCATCAGTCTCTCCACAACACAAGACACAGGGTAGAGCACTACTCCATAAGTCTCTCTACAACACAAGACACAGGGTACAGCACAACTCCATAAGTCTCTCCACAACACAAGACACAGGTAAGAGCACTACTCCATAAGTCTCTCTACAACACAAGACACAGGGTAGAGCACTACTCCATAAATCTCTCTACAACACAAGACACAGGGTAGAGCACAACTCCATAAGTCTCTCCACAACACAAGACACAGGGAAGAGCACAACTCCATAAGTCTCTCTACAACACAAGACACAGGGTAGGGCACAACTGCATAAGTCTCTTCAACACAAGACACAGGTAAGAGCACTACTCCATAAGTCTCTCCACAACACAAGACACAGGGTAGAGCACTGCCCCATAAGTCTCTCTACAACACAAGACACAGGGTAGAGCACAACTCCATAAATCTCTCCACAACACAAGACACAGGGTAGAGCACTGCCCCATAAGTCTCTCCTCAACACAAGACACAGGGTAGAGCACTACTCCATAAGTCTCTCTACAACACAAGACACAGGGTAGAGCACTACTCCATAAGTCTCTCTACAACACAAGACACAGGGAAGAGCACTACTACATAAGTCTCTCCACAACACAAGACACAGGGAAGAGCACTACCTCATCAGTCTCTCCACAACACAAGACACAGGGTAGAGCACTACTCCATAAGTCTCTCTACAACACAAGACACAGGGTACAGCACAACTCCATAAGTCTCTCCTCAACACAAGACACAGGTAAGAGCACTACTCCATAAGTCTCTCTACAACACAAGACACAGGGTAGAGCACTACTCCATAAATCTCTCTACAACACAAGACACAGGGAAGAGCACTACTACATAAGTCTCTCCACAACACAAGACACAGGGAAGAGCACTACCTCATAAGTCTCTCCACAACACAAGACACAGGGTAGAGCACTACCTCATAAGTCTCTCTACAACACAAGACACAGGGAAGAGCACAACTCCATAAGTCTCTACACAACACAAGACACAGGGAAGAGCACAACTCCATAAGTCTCTCCACAACACAAGACACAGGGTAGAGCACAACTCCATAAGTCTCTCTACAACACAAGACACAGGGTAGGGCACAACTGCATAAGTCTCTCCTCAACACAAGACACAGGAAAGAGCACTACTCCATAAGTCTCTCCTACAACACAAGACACAGGGAAGAGCACTAACTCCATAAGTCTCTCTACAACACAAGACACAGGGTAGAGCACAGCTCCATAAGTCTCTCTACAACACAAGACACAGGGTAGAGCACTACTCCATAAGTCTCTCCACAACACAAGACACAGGGAAGAGCACTACTCCATAAGTCTCTCTACAACACAAGACACAGGGTAGAGCACTACTCCATAAATCTCTCCACAACACAAGACACAGGGTAGAGCACTGCCCATAAGTCTCTCTCCTCAACACAAGACACAGGGTAGAGCACTACTCCATAAGTCTCTCTCTACAACACAAGACACACAGGGAAGAGCACTACTCCATAAATCTCTCTACAACACAAGACACAGGGTAAGAGCACAACTACATAAGTCTCTCCTCAACACAAGACACAGGGAAGAGCACTACCCCATAAGTCTCTCCACAACACAAGACACAGGGTAGAGCACTACTCCATAAGTCTCTCTACAACACAAGACACAGGGTAGAGCACAACTCCATAAGGCTCTCCTCAACACAAGACACAGGGAAGAGCACTACTCCATAAGTCTCTCCACAACACAAGACACAGGGTAGAGCACTACTCCATAAATCTCTCCACAACACAAGACACAGGGAAGAGCACTACTACATAAGTCTCTCCACAACACAAGACACAGGGAAGAGCACTACCTCATCAGTCTCTCCACAACACAAGACACAGGGTAGAGCACTACCTCATAAGTCTCTCTACAACACAAGACACAGGGAAGAGCACAACTCCATAAGTCTCTCCACAACACAAGACACAGGGAAGAGCACAACTCCATAAATCTCTCTACAACACAAGACACAGGGTAAAGCACAACTCCATAAGTCTCTCTACAACACAAGACACAGGGTAGGGCACAACTGCATAAGTCTCTTCAACACAAGACACAGGGTAGAGCACTACTCCATAAGTCTCTCCACAACACAAGACACAGGGAAGAGCACAACTCCATAAGTCTCTCTACAACACAAGACACAGGGTAGAGCACAGCTCCATAGGTCTCTC